TGCCACCCTCCTCACTCCATCTGTATCATGAGTTTTGTCTGTCAGCAGCCTAAGGTGCAGTTTCCCCCAAACCCCTGCACCTATCACTGTGAAAGTTGGCAGGCTTTGTGGGCTCCTCAGGGGCTAGCAAGCCTGCAGTTTTGAGCTCCCTGTGGCCTTCCACACAGAAGTTACAGGTGGTTTGCTCTCAAGAATTTGGGGTGCAGTTTCTCTGCACCCCCTGAACCTATCTTGTTGAAAGTTGGCAGGCTTTGTGAGCTCCTCAAGAGCTACCAATCCTGTAAGTTTCATCAAGATCAGACAGGAAATGCCAAAGTTATAGCCTGCTTTGACCTTCCCCATTATAGCCTATGGGGAAGTCAAAGCAGCTCAAATATTCGACTGAGCTTCGACTCAAAGCGGACGGCAAATTGAAGCAGGACCCGATTTAATATTCAACGTGGCTTTCGAATTGAATATTACCTGCTCTGCACAGCCCTACTTTATGGCTTCTTGGGGTGCACCGATAGAGAATTTTTGGGCTGATAACAGTGGCTGACTTTTAATGAGCCATATTGGCCAATTCCAGTATGCACCTGGGTAGCGTAAAGAGTGGCATCTTGCTGGTAAGTCTGTTGTGGGAGAAGGGGCAAGGGGTAAGTGGGGGTAGGAAGGGTCATGGGAGGGCAGATCGAGGCCCCTCAGTGAGGGAGGATGTGGGGCAGGGGCAGGCACTGCATAGCTGGGGCAGAGTGGGGATGGAGCCGCAAGAGGCTCATCCAGGGTGGGCAGGGGCTAGCTCCCACCACTACGTGTACCCCAGAAGGTCATGGAGGGGCATGTGCCCCTGGATCTCTGCAGGGTGGGGCAGCTGCCGCTGTGGGCTGGGGCCAGGGCACAGCCAGGCTCTTCCCAGCAGGGGTTGAGCCAGGGCTGCGCTTGGAGTGTGCGGCAGCAGCGCTGGGAGGGGGCTACGGGGGGTAAGGGGGGGCTGCAGTTTCCCCAAAATTCGCCATAGTCCCCTCCCAGCAGCACTGTTGCTTACCCCGAGTGCAGCCTGGCCCAGTCCCCACCCCCCACTGGGAAGAACCTGGCACCGCCTCCGGCCCTGGCCCCAGTCTCAGCTTGCTGTGGCACCCCACCCTTGCCTCACACACAGATCCAGGGGGCACCCCCCCATGTCTCCCTCAGAGGGGTGTGCAGCGGCAGGAGCCATGCTTCTCCCCACCGTCCCAGGCCTCCCCCTGGGACAAGCTGCTCGTGGCTCCATCCCCCACTCCGCCCCAGCTGTATAGCCTCTGACTCTGTCCCACTCCCTCCCTTACCACAGGGGCCTCAGTTGGCACCTCCTCCATGCCCCTCCCTCACAACAGACTTACCCATTGAACCTAGCTGCTCTCCATGCTGCCAGGTTGCACTTATGGCTGTCTGTGTGCTGCGCTGCAGCTGTGCATACATGGGGCATTTTATCCAGTGGCATTATCGGCCACATCAGCCAAAAAAATCCAATTGCCAGTATACTCAATTTTCCTTATATCAGTGCCAATCCAGTATTGCAGGGGTTTTCAACCGTTTTGGGTCAGTGTACCCCCTGAGGCCTTCCCAAGTACCCCCAGGGATATGCATACCTCCAGTTGAACACCCCTCCAATATTGGACTGATGTATTGGTGTACCTCTAATGGCTTCCTGAATAACCTGTAGGTTGTTTCCCAAAACTAGCCGGTCGAGCAGTGGAAACTTCTCTATAATGTTAAACTCTGCTAAGGTCTTTCATTTAATTTGCATCAGGTGCTACAACTTTGAGCTCAGGAGAGAGGGACACCATTTACCCAAAGCTCTGCTTTTCTTCCCCTGATCAAAGCATAACATAAAAACAAATTTCCCTGAAGAGGATGGTGGTTATTATCTTGTTTTATGAACCACCATAAAGTTTGAAAAACAAGGCCATCTTAAGATGGGGACTGTGTTCTGTGTAACCTGTTAGATTGTCTCTCCTGATAAAGTGAATGTAAAATAATCTTCCATGTCACCTCATCTTCCTGTTGTTTCACATCTCTGTCCCACATCTGTCTAAAATTACAGAAATCTAGTGAGCTAGGGTGCTACTTACCTTGTCCATAGATTGTCTGGGGGTGGGTGGGATTGAAGGAAACCCCCCCTTTGCTGAGTCAGAGGAGAGATTAAGAATTTCCCTGTTGCCAGGAGCTAGTGGAGCTGCAAAATCTCCCCAAAGAACAAAGTGAGCTAATGGGTACTTTTCCATAAATGAGTCAATGAGAGATTCAAGGTCTGTCAGAAATCTGTTAATTAAAGCAGAGTCCAAGGGCAAGGGGGAATTAAACATTCAGGGCTTTTAAAGGAGGTTTATGTCAGAAGGCCTGAAAACCAGAAGTTAACCTGATAGTTGTGACATTTAACATAATGAAGACAAGGGGCCAACCCAGTTGAACATCTGCCCCTCTTAGCATACTTAATGTATCCTTCTCAAAAGGATTCAGACCTTGAAGGGAAAGTCTCATTTTAGAAAAGTCAAGTTTGTAGAAGGAAAACTAAATAAAATGCAGGTTTCCCAAGAAAGAATTGGATTGCAACAGCTTAGGTGAAGTTAGATAGATGAGAATTGTAGATGTCTTAGCAGTTTTTTAGCTGTTGCATAGGATAGAACAGAGTTGCATTTAGTCATTTAGACTAGTGGTCTCCAAACTTTTTTGATCACGCACCCCTATCAGTAAAAAATTTTTGAGCACGCACCCCCAATATATTTATATGTATAGTCACGCACCCCATCAGTAAAAAATTTTTGAGCATGCACCCCCAATATATGTATATTTATATAAATATAAGTTCTAATATTTTCTTCCTGCACCCCAATGGATTGTCTTGCACACCCCCTAGGGTGTGTGCACCTCACTTTGGAGACCACTGATTTAGACACCTAAAAATCATGTAAATATCTCTTAGGCACCTTCAAAGTGGAGTAGGTTCTAGGCTGTATTTATTCTCCAGAGTCACTACAACTAATTCCTATTTATTAGTAGCATAGTGATGGATAGTCAGGGTAAGTTTTGTGCCAAGTGTCCTGATGCTGTTAAGGTTATTTGTGAAGTTTTTACCAATCTATTTTTTCCATGAGTTAACTTGTGGTAAAAAATGTTGAATTTTAGGTATGGAAGGGGTTTTCCCAAGACTTCTTAGTAATTACAAATATGTGGTCTTCTTGCATGCCCAATAGAAGTTGAAAACTGCAGCATCCCCCCCCACCTACTGTCTGTTGCCCTCAAAAGATTACATAATGGGCTCTAAAAACTAATAAGTTGATTGTAAGTGGCACTGATGTATGTACAGTGAAGGGACTAGAAGGGGAAATTCCAAGCACTAGTTCCTTGGTCATATTCCTTTGATGTGACCTAACTTTTAGAAATATCTTTGATGTTCTGAAGAATCGCAGAGCATTTCTAGAGTAGTTGTACTTACCAATACCTAATGAATACCCTTTTTCCCTTACATGATACACACTTGGCCTGAAAACAGTCAAGCAGGAGTTGTTTAAACTATTAGGATTATGTTTTATGAGGTCAAAGCAACTTCAGCTCCCTGTAGCCCCTGTGAGAGATGCAGATGCTCAGCATCTCTTGTCACTTATGACTTGGGGGGATCTGACTAACTGTGTTCTTCACTTATCCCAAGTCACCTGGCCCTTAAGTTGTTGCTTAATAATAGTCTGCAGAAATCATCTGCCAGTATGCTACCTGCCATGTCCTTTTATCTAACTATTATATATTCATACTATTGTAAAATAAGGATTTTAAAGAAAAGACTTATGCATTTAAATAGAAAGGGATGAAAATGGTCTTCCAAGCCATCAGAAACATACTGGGATTTTCTTGTCCTTGTGTGAATTTTTTATGCTGGCTGCAAATTGAAATGACATTCACCTCCCTTTCCTCCTTTCTGGTTTTCAGAAGGTACTGGATCTTTGCCATGGACTGGGGGTTCTGTGACAAAACCTGGAAAACCAAAAGGAAAGAAGAAGATTTCTTCAGTTCGGCAGAAGTTTGATGTAAGAATACCCTTGGAAAACCACTGTAGAGTGGAAGGGCTGGCACTCCATAAAGGAAGACCTGGATGTAGAATATTGTTTCTTTAATAGCAGGGATGACTGAAGTGCTTTTTCTTATCCCAGGCAAAAGATTTGTCTCAGAATAATAACAATTGGAGTGGAATTACCAGATGGGTCTCTCTGTATAGTTATTTATAATTTAATGCTATCTTTAATCTCATGTTCACCTTAAATGACTGTTAAATGTTTGAAGCAAAAGTTTAAATGGTCCTTACATTGTACTATTCGTATCCTTCTTGGAAGATTGACTTGTGTGAACTTGGACTTTCCCATTCTGCACTGCAGCTGAACTCACTGAGTGAATGGAGATAATGATTTTTTTTTTGTAATGTAATGTGCTTTTTGGTGTCTCAAGTTTGATAAGTAAAAAATACTTGGAGTACCTTGATTGCATCAGGGGTATCATGGGGTTGGGGTGGGAAAAGCACACAAGATCTGATTTTTCCTTACAGTAAAGCCTTTTTATATTGCTCCAGCATTATAAAATGTTCTCACTTTGCTTACAAAACCATGAGGCCCATAAACACAAGCTACTAGGCCTGAGGCACATAATAAAGCAGTGTCACATGCTGTTCCCAGACAGCTATTTCAAAGGGTTGTAGATACAGCTGAAATGTAGTTCTATTGAGAACTCTTCTGTTGAGACTGCAAATAATATTTCTCAGTCTTCTCAGCTGTGAACGTGACTGACAGGAATTCTTAAAAGTTGTAATTCAGATAATCTATGGTGACATCTCCTTTAAAATTCCTGATCAGTAATGCATTGCCATAGAGCAACTATGAAAATAGCAGTATGTGTGTTTGATAGTGATCTTGCAATTAGGTTTACTTAAAAAATGAGTATATAATAAATTGTGTCAAGAATATATTTATATATGTTTCAGTAACATATGCTAGTGTAGGACTGAATATAGGCTTTCTCCAGGTGAATTTGGGGTAAGACTGTTCACAAATAGTGAAGCAAAACAAAAATGTTATGCTTTAAAAAATTAAAAATTGTAAGTTTTGCAGTTCAGCTAGCACCCAAAAGTTTAAGCAATAGAGGAGATTTCTTTTAATTCCTCCCACGTGCTCCCAAGAATCATGAATTTGCTAAGTAGGGATGGAGGAAAGGAATTCTGTTGTACTCCTGTTCTTTCTCTAGACTGTGTTTTTTGGTCCCCACAAATAATTTCAAGAGCCTACCTTTGCTTTTAGTAGTTTTTTTCACTGTCATGAAATTAACAGGATTCTTGGTGGTTTCTTAGCTGATTCCAAACATTTTGAGTTGCAGTTAAGTAACTATCCAGATGTGTATTAACTCTGCCTTGTGTTTTTTCCAAATCTGCATATGTTCTTTGCAGAAGAAGTTAAATTTTGAAGGTTACAGCTGTCTACTATGTGGGCTAGAAAATTATCTAAAATGGAAGCAAAAGTGCTGAGATCTACCGGGGGATCAACTTCTCCCGCATCATTTGTGTATCAATATTTTTTTAAACTTGTTTAAATGAACAGCATCAGTTGATTTTTTTTTTGTGGTTCTTTTCCTATTGTAGAATGCTTTTATGTGCGTCTCCATTACAATAAATAATCAAGGTGTGATATTTTGTCATCACTTCACCAGTACTGAAAAATAGCTGCAATCTGGGGTAGGATACAACAGTTCTTCAGCAGCACACAGTAAAGGCTTAAGATGGGAAGAATATAATACACAGGACTGGAATTGGGTCAAGTTACTAAGTTTTAAATGCCTACAGGATTATGAAAAATGTTGTAGGATCCTTAATAGGCAAGTGAGTTCAAGATCTTGGTTTTACATTTTAAATAGCCAGGAAATTACTGGAATAAATGAAAAAGAAGTCAGTTGCAAACAGCTAGAGGAGGAAAGGTTGATCAGAAGCAGCCAGTATAGGTTTGTTAAGAGCAAATTGTGCTAAGCCAACTTTAACCTCTTTTTGACAATTAACTAGTTGGGTGGATGAAAGGAACATAGTGTACTTGTATATTAGTAAGGCTTTTGATAAAGTCCCACAAGATCTTCTTTTAAGCAAACTGGAGACATGTGGGTGAGAAAATTTTACAAGGTGGATAGTTGATTAGTTTGTTAACTACAAGCCAAAGGGCAATTATAAACAGATCAATGTCAAAATGGCAGGTTTCAAGTGGGGTCCCACAGGGGTCTGTCCTGGGTCCTGTTTAATATGTTTGTTAGTGCTTTAGATGCTGGTAAAGTTTGCAGATGGCCTACAACTGAGAGACAGCAAACACTTAAAAGGATAGAGGTAGAAGGCAGAAGGATCTTGATAGATTGGAAAGCTGGGCTAGAGGCAACAGGATGAAGTTCAGTGCAGACGGATGTAAGATGACATCTAGGGAAGAATAATCAAAAGCACAAATACAGAATGGGAGGATGAGTGGAAGTACTGCTGAGGAGGATCTAGGGGTTTTGGTGGATTATAGACTCAACGTGAGTCAATATGATACAGTTGCAAAAATAGCAGTGCAGTTTTGGGCTCACACCTAATGCTCCTTTTGATGAAGATGCAGCACTTTTTTGCTTGGGACCAGCTTGGCCTCATTTAGAGGAGTAGTTCTCCACCCTTTTTTTGTATCCCTTTGTAAATGTAAATGGTGAGTCCCAACCCAGTAAATAGTTTAAATAGAAAACAGCCTTCTGGCCCTGCTGGTGCCCTCCACTCTGACTTGCTGCGACCAGGCCTCAGCCCCATCCAGTGTGTGGGGCAGGAAGTGGGTGTGTCCCTCCAGATTTGTGCACCCACAGCAGACAAGGGGCTGCAACCTGGATGAACCAGCAAGGGCAGGAGCTGCCTCCATGGCCAAGCAGGAAGGACTCAGCATGGAAGGGCACAGCAGGGCAGTGAGACTCTCAGCTGCCACCACTGCTTGGACTCCCATGCCAGCCATGTGACCAGCAGCGCAAGGAGTAACCATGTTTTTTTGGGTGGGATGGTTCCTGCACTACCTTCACCCTTCTGCTGCCAAATGCTTGGATGCTGGGCCATGGCTGTACCCTGCTGCCATGGGCTGCCTGCTGCTCACCTCAGGCCATGGCTCTGTCCCAGAGAAGGGGTGGAGTGGCAGCAGTGTTGCCTGTGCCCCCCAACACATCCTTCCTTCCCTCCCCACTGCTTCTGCCCCCACAGACTTACCTGTTGGGGATCTGTGGAAGCTGCTCTCCTCGGTGCCTGGCTACCACATGCATTTGTGTGCACAGATACATGTGGTGTCCCTGCCTGATCACCCTTCTCTTGCTCCCCCAGCCCCAATCAACCCCTTGCAGGCTGGAACTCTGCCAGGGTGAAAGGGGAAACCTGTGGTTTCCCAAGCTTTTCTCCTTTAAAGGAGAATCCATTTTTAAAGTTTGTTGATCCATTTTTTTAAGTTTCTCCCTAACCCTTTCATATGTTCTTGTGACCTGCTTTTGGGTCATGACCCATGGGTTGAGAAATGCTGATTTAGAGTACTACATGCAGTTCTGGGGTCCACATTTTAAGAAAAGTGTGGAGAAGTTAGAGATGGCCCAGAGATGAGTGACAAAAATGATAAAAGGCTTGGAAGACAAACTGTATGAGGAAAGGTTGAGAGAGCTAGATATGTTTAACTTGATAGTAGTCTTCAAATAGTTGGTGGCTGCCATAAAGAAAAGGGAAAACATTTATTCTCTCTTGCTGCAGGGAGCAGGACATGAAGCAATAGTTTTAAATTGCAGCAAAGTTGATTTAGATTGGATCTCAAGGAAAAAAATTCCTCACTGTTAGAACAACAAGGCAATGAAACAGATTGCTCGGGGCAGTTGTGGAATTTTATTTGCTGGAGATTTTCAAGAAGAGCTGGATAAGCATTGGACAGGGAAGATTTAGGAGCAGTATTCCAGCATTTTGGCAGGAGGTTGAGCCACGTGACCCTTGAGCTACCTTTCAATTTTGTGTTCTGACTTTAAATTTAAAAATTAGAGATTTTAAACTAAGCTTCAAATTTATTTTATTTTTTTTACCTGACAGCACCGGTTTCAACCTCAGAACCCATTGTCTGGAGCACAGCAATTTGTAGCAAAGGACCCTCAAGAGGATGATGATCTGAAGCTATGTTCCCACACCATGATGCTTCCTACTCGGGGCCAGCTGGAAGGGAGGATGATAGTAACTGCATACGAACATGGGCTGGACAACGTTACCGAAGAGGCAGTGACAGCTGTTATTTATGCTGTAGAGGTTAGAAAAGAAAAGCAACAAGGTGTTTGATTATATCCCTGGTGTAGGGATGGGGTACACAGAGCATGAGAGAGAATCTGCTTCTCTACTATCACAAAAGATCTCAGGTAATGTTTTTCAAGGGGGCTTCAGATTGGCATCAGAGGTTATTTTTGCAGGTCTTCATTTCAGAGCCTTGGGTGCTCAGAAGGAATCTTGGGTTCATGTATAGAGATGAGACTTAAAAAATGTTAGATGTGAAAAATTGTAGGGCCAGTTCTGTCAGCTGTTTTGAAAAATATTGGACTGTAGCCTTTGAAAAAAAGAACTAAAAATAATTTTCCTCCTATTTTTTTTTGGTTTAAATTCACATTCTATTGCAAGCAGTGGCTCTGCAGAGAGGCCAGAGAACTTTTTTTTTTTAGGTTTTGCGAAAATTGTCTGGTGTTGAGAGAACTAGGCAAGGTGGGTAAATCAGATCACACTTAAGCCTGACGATTACCTGCCATTTCTGTCATCTTTAATGTGATTATGACAATTAGCATGCCTCAGGATTGGGCCCAAGTGAGACACCCTGGGACTTTCCTTGACTCAGAACTCAAGAGGTCATTCTGATCTCTCCAAACAGCAGCGAGCCCAGGTGGGGATCAACTCACTACTTGTCCTCAAGAGGTAACTTCTCTCCAGCAGTGTCAGGCTAGAAGCAAAGTCTGAAATGCAAAACATCAATATGTGGCTTTCAGCAGAGCTGTTTGGGAAGTGTTTTGGTGCCAGTGCAATATTTAATGCTGATTTCAAAACCTTTTTGTCTTCTACATGAATCTAGTGGGAATTTCCTGACATTTGACATTTTAAAGCTGACATTAGTAGGTCTTTAAAATATGCTTTAATTCATGGTCAATGAATGCTTACAATGCTGGTATTATATTTTTAGGTACAAATGAAGTTATGAAATGGACACTTATCCCTCATCTAAATGTTGATATGCAGCTGTTTTATAACAGCTTGATTTTCAGAGTTGGAAGAAATCTATAAAATTATTAACAGATTTTTGTCCAAATATGCATGGCACATTCATTTCACTTATCACTAACTTTCTGTTTTTTAAAATAACACTACAGTATTATTCCTTTAAAAATATAAGCTATCCATAGAGCAGCATACATCAATTAATATTTATAGATTTAAAATGAACACTGTATATGTAACCACTGACATTTGTAATACTGTGATCACAGCAGTCTTTGAGTGGAAGGAAAGTCTGTAAATGGTAAAGTTTTTGCATTACAGAACCACCTTAAGGATATTCTGATATCTGTGATATCCAGGAGGAAAGCCTATCGTCTGAGAGATGGTCATTTCAAATATGCCTTTGGAAGCAATGTTAACCCTCAGCCATACCTGAAGAACAGTGTTGTTGCTTACAATAATTTAATTGAATGGTAAGTTTTCATTGAACTCTCTGGTTTCAAACATGGCTAGTGGATCTTGAAGACTGAGCCTCCTCAGTCTTTCATGGGATGGTAGGACAGTGTTGAATTTGAAGCCAGTGCTTATATCCCAGGGTTTTCAACTTCCCGTGGCTGCTAGAAGAGGACCTTTCTTACTAGTGACGATGTAAAACCTTAAGAAGAAAGAAGAATGTGTTTTGTCTCAGCAGACTCGCCACTCGCGTGATCGGGGGCAGCAGGGCAGGCCCTATGAGGAGAGGCTACGGGACCTGAACCTGTTCAGCCTCCACAAGAGAAGGCTGAGGGGGGATCTAGTGGCCTGTTACAAACTAGTCAGAGGGGACCAGTAGGCACTGGGGAAGTCCCTGTTCCCTGGAGCACTACCAGGAGTGACCAGGAATAACAGTCACAAGCTGGCAGAGGGTAGATTTAGGCTAGATATCAGGAGGCGCTACTTCACGGTCAGGGTGGCTAGGATCTGGAACCTACTTCCAAAAGAAGTGGTGCTGGCTCTTACCCTGGGGGTCTTTAAGAGGAAGCTAGATGTACACCTTGCTGGGGTCGTTTGACCCCAGTACTCTTTCCTGCCATGGCAGGGGGTCAGACTCAATGATCTGCTCAGGTCCCTTCTGATCCTAGAAACTATGAAACTCCTGACTGGTGAAGGCTAGAGGTTGTTAGGCAGCAGTTCTTATCTTCACTGTGTTCCCAGCCAGTGCCCTGGTGATTCCAAAGTAGATGCTGGTTGATTTGCTAGTGTGTGTAATTGTCTGTCTCTTTACAGTCCTCCCACTTGCGTGGCACCTTCTGCTGGTCAGAACCTAGCTCCCCAACCTCCTCCTGATGATGCTGAGCAGCAGGCAGCTCTCCTCTTAGCATGTTCAGGAGACACTTTACCAATGAGTCTCCCTCCAGTGAATATGTATGACCTTTTTGAGGCACTACAGGTAATGGTTCACACTCCTCTGCAGTGTGGGTTTAGGAAATGCTTTCTTGAGCAGAAACAGTTGATTGTGTCTGATCTGCCTTATGTACCTCTCCATCTATTGAGCACTAGTGAGGACATACCTGTGTCCAGTTTTGGGCCCTGCACTACAGAAAGGATGTGGACAAATGGGAAAGAGTCCAGCAGAGGGCAATGAAAATGGTTAGGGGGCTGGGGCACATGACTTGCGAGGAGAGGCTGAGAGAACTGGGATTATTTAGTCTAGAGAAGAGAAGACCGAGAGGGGATTTAATAGCAGCCTTCAAGTACCTTACTTGGGGGTGTTGAAAGAGGATGGAGCTAGACTGTGGTGGCAGATGACAGAACAACGAGCAACGGGCTCAAGCTGCAGCAAGGGAAGTTTAGATCAGATATTAGAAAAAACTTTCTCACTAGGAGGATAGTAAAACACTGGAACAGGCTACCCAGAGAGGTGGTGGAATCTCAATCCTTGGAGGTTTTTAAGACCCAGCTAGACAGAGCCTTGGGTGGAATGATCTAGCTGGGGATAGTCCTGCTTTGAGCAGAGGGTTGGACTAGATCAGTGTTTTTCAATCCGTGGGTCACAACCCAAAAGTGCATTGCAAGAATATATGAAATGTTCATGAACAAACTTTAAAAATGGATTCTCCTTTAAAGGAGAAAAATGTGGGAAACCATGGTTTTTCCCTTGCGGACTGGCAGAGTTCCAGCCTGCAAGGGGCTGCTTGGGCCCTCCATACCACACACCCCCACACGCACACACCCTGCCCCACACCCTGGGGGGCTGGAGACTGGGGGTAGTGTGTTGGGAGTGAGGGACACTGGGTCAGGACTGGCCATTGATGTTTACAAATGGGTCCTGGAATGAAAAAGGCTGAGAGCCACTAGACTAGATGACCTCTTGAGGTCCCTTCCAATCCTAATTTTCTATTATTTTACCTAGAGACTCCTATGATTCTCTTGCTTTTCTGGCTCCCAATTCATTGGACCATTTTCCTTGATTTTCCTTTTTTAATTCACATTATATGTGGAGCTATGCAGAGCTTCAGGCTGGGACTCGGAAATGGCCCCACCAACTGAATAAATATTGACGCCCCAATGCCAGCACAGTAGCCATTAGGTAATGGTTTCTGTACATGGGAGTTTCAGCTCCCACCCCTGCCCTTTCTTTATGGCTTCCACTGAATCAGTCATAGGGATCATGCAGGAGCTGCATCAGATTGTGAGATTCTGGCATGTACCCAGCCAAACAGCGTGCTCAACAAATCCCATTTTACTTTGCACATCCTGTTCAGACACTTGATATCTGCTCAGATGCTTACCCTGACCAGTTTTGGATTATATCTCAGCAGAGCATTCTCACCAGGAGAGCTCCCAACTCCTGGAATTTGCTTTCACTCCTGGGTCTGATACAGCCCAGGTTTATGGACCTGAAGGTCCTGTGGCAAAGCCTGTTTGTTTCTCCTGGCTGATGCCAGTGGTCTAAATGGGGCCAGGTGGTATATGTGGCAACACTGGCAGATTAGATTTAATATTATGTATTTTTGTGTTTCTGTGCTGCTGGACACACAATCAGCCCACAGATAAACACTGTTAAGTTCTTATTTTAGAAACAGAGGAAACAACTATGAGAGCATTTGGTTAATGAGGCTTTCCAAATGCAACTTACAGGTGCACAGGGAAGTTGTTCCTGCACATACTGTCTATGCTCTGAACATTGAGAGAATCATCATGAAACTTTGGCACCCAAATCATGAGGAGCTTCAGCAAGACAAAATCCATCGCCAGCGCCTGGCAGCAAAGGAAGGGCTTCTGATATGCTAGAACAGCAGAGACCCTTTCCATTGTGCTCAGATCCACCTGCTGTTTCTTGGACTCAGCCGTAGGACGCTTCCATTGAATCGTATGTCAGCATTTCGAGAGAGAGATGTCTAAATACATGTAACCTTTTCCTATGGAAATACAAATGAAACATAGTACATCTTGTTTGCTACCACAAAGCCACATTGTAATCAAATACTGTGCCACTGACTGCTTGGGACTGCATGTACCTCACTGCATTTGAAAAGGAATGGAAGATCGGTTCAGAAAAAAGTACTTAAATTTAAGAAGATCGATTCATGTTTTCTTTAATGAGCCCAAGGGTTGTGTTGGCAGATAGCCACCGGCACTAGACAGTCTGACAGACTTTATGGGTTATTTCTCATTTTCCTAAATAAATAAACCACTGCATTCAGGATGTCTGTGAACAAACAAATGTGTCCAGGGCCTAGTGCTTCTACTTTTGTGTAATTAAGAATCCTTCTGCAAAGGGGAGAAGTCCCCTCCTTTTCCTGACTGACAGAACCAGTGTGCAAGAGCAGAGAGGGAGGAAGGAAATGCATTGTCATAAAGAAGAACCTAGCTCCCATCACTTTCCTTCCTGTGTCTTTTCTGTAGTGTGCACCCCCAAGAGTTTGAAGGAACCCAGAGTGTTGTTGTACTGGTCAGGGGGCTTTATCCAAAGCCCATTACCAAGGCCACAACTGTGCTTGTCCTGCTGTAGGGGTAATTTTTCCTAGCAAAAGCTGTCCTCATGCTTGTGTGCCCCACAATGCCTATGGAGAAGCAGTAGCTTAATCTCTCCCCTAGTTTGTAACTTATTAAGGTATGGTCCAAGCACTGCCTTCTGAGAAGTTAGGACTTGATTCGGCTGCTGTTGAAATCAATGGGAGTCTTCCTGTTGTCTGTGAAAGCTGGGCACTGGGCTCATGGGGAGTTGAGACCCACAATGTGAAATCAAATACTTCTGTGTTTTTACGTTCTGTCTGTTTGTATGATGGAGACTTTTAAGTGCTGGTTTGAATTATGAGATGAGGCAAATGTGAAAGGTCCTGGTCTAGCAAATCCCCTGGGCTGCTCTGTATTACCAAATGGAGAGGAAGGTCCAGGGCAGCCACTGAAGTTTTTCAGGAGGTCCTGAGATGTGTAAGAAAATCGTTTTTTGGAATTGGTGTTCCCCTCTCCAGATACGCACTCTGGTTGATCCCTGTAATGGTGACTCCCAATTAAACCATTTAGGGACTATCCACTCCTAGGAGTAGGAATATTCAGCCAATCTAGCAATTACAGTGGTAATCATTACCAAGGGTTTGATGACACCTATCAAAGACAGTCCTTTCCAGTCCTGTGCAGCAAAGCAGAACCTGGCCCAGACACTGTTTCCCCTCACCGGTGCCACAGGTTCTGGCTCAGCTCCCCCCTGCCCCTCTCAAGCTGCAAAACGTGGCCTGAGTCAGAGGCAGGGCAAGGCCAGCTGGGGTAGGCTGAGGTCAGGGTTAGTTGCCTCACAACCAGAACCCAAGGAAATAGCCTGAGGTGCTGCAGCCGGCGGCTGGTGCTGCTGGCTGCCGCTGGAGGCTTTTAGAGAGGCAGCCGCCATTACCTGGGTTTTGAAGGGGCTCCGCAGGCCGGACAGAAGTGCTTGGTGGGCTGAATCTGGCCCACGGGCTGTATTTTGCCCACCTCTGGCTTAACTGCTCAGCAGTTCAGTGGGTGGAAAGCTGGCTGCATGGTAGGACTCAGAGAGTTCTCACGAATGGATCTGTGTCATCCTGGTGAAGTGGCCAGTGGTGTCCCTCAGGGGTCTGTGGTTGGACCAGTGCTTTTCAACATCTTTATCAATGATTTGGATGTGGGGGTGAGAAGCTTGCTGGCCAAGTTTGCGGATGACACCAAGTTATGGGGCAGTGTGGCCAGAAGATAGGTTGAAGATACAGGTGGACCTAGACAGGCTGGAGAGTTAAGTGGACTGGAACCAGATGAACTTCAACACTCAGAAGTGTAAGGTGCTTCACTGGGGGGCCAGCAATCCCTAACATACCTACAGGTCCAGTGGCAACAATTTGACTTGCACCACAGCTGAAAGAGACACGCTGGTATGCATCAACCGTTCGCTGCATCTTGTGTAAAAGTAAGGAAGAGATACTCCCACTGTACTCCACACTGGTGAGACCACAGCTGGAGTACCGTGTCGAGTTCTGGGCACCGCACTTCAACAAGGACCTTGGAAAACTTGAGAGGGTCCAGAAAAGAGCCACCCATATGATCAGGGACTTGCAAGACCAGCCATATGAGGAGAGGCTGAGGGGACTTGGTAGTGGCTTACCACTACATCAAGGGAACAGCTCAGTGAACAGCTGTTCAGAAGTTTTGAAAGTTTAAAAATGTTTTGAGTTTCAAAGCTGAGCTTACTTGGCTTCAGCATTGGCCCCAGCCGGCAGCAACAGCATGCTGTCGTCCTGCGCACAGATCCAAGGGCCCGTGGCCCCCACCTCCCAGGAGGAGTCTGGCACAGCCCCGCAGCCCTTCTGGGGGTGCGGGCCCCTAGATCTGCGTGCTGGATGACAGCATGCTGTCGCTGCCAGCTGGGGCCAGCAGCAGCAGAAGTCTTTCTGACGCTCAGCACGGGCTGCACCCAGTGCTGATCCCAGCCAGCAGCAGCAGCCTCCTGTCATCCAGCGCGCAGATCCAGGGACCCACACCCCCAGGAAGAGACTGGCACAGCCCTCTCGGGGGTGCAGCCCCCTGGATCTGCGTGTCGGGTGAGGAGCTGATCCTTCTGCCTGGGGCCAGTGTCAGCAGCAATCTTCCCAGTGCTGGGCGCAGGCTGTGCTCCGCGCCAGTCCCAGGCAGCAGCAGCAGCCTCTGTCTCCTGTCATCTGGCGCACAGATCCAGGGGCCCGCACCCCTGGGAGGGCTGCAGGGTTGTGCTGGACTCCTGAGGGTGCGGGCCCCTGGATCTGCGCACTGGATAACAGAAGTCTGTCACTGCTGCCTGGGGCCAGCAGCAGCAGCAATTTTTCCTCAAGAGAAAAATAGAGGACATAAAGGCATCCAGTTTTGTATCAATAGAGGATAGAGGACAACCAGACTGTCCTCTATGATGGCCACCCTACCCATGAAGCATGATCAACATCCCCCCCCAAGATCTCAGTTTATTAAAACATGAGATTTTTAATTTACTTTCTTTATTGTTTTTTAAATTCCTTTTTTTCACTTATTTTTATTTTATCCATCACTGGTTGACTTAGTTCATTTCACCATCCTTCTCCCACCCCCATTTCCTTTCTACTTCCCTTTTCATTACCTGTGCCCATCCCATTAACTCTCTACCTCCCAGCTTCATGTCCCTGTCCTCCTACAATCCATCTCTCACACATGCCCACCTAGAGCAGGGATAGCAGCCTGCCTTGGCTCACCAGCCTTTTAGTGGCAACTCACAACTGCAGCTCCTACCCAGGCCCCTGCCCACCACCCCTTTGCAGGTAGATGATCAGAAAGGGTTTTTAGCTGTAAGGTGTGACTGATCCATACTTAAGCTAGCACTAACATTGATCAGTATTTGAGCAGCTCAAAGTGCAGCGTGTAATGATTGCCTATAACAAGCAAGACCTTTTCTCCTTGTGCCATCTTTTTTTAAAGGAGCAAACTATGCTCAGTTCTTTGAGAGAAAATTTGAAGGCCCCTGCCCTTAGGTGAGGACTCCAGGCTCTGGCTGTCATGTGGGCTGAGGCACCTCTCTGTAGACCTGACTTGGGTGATTATATCCTGGGGGGAAGAGGGGTACAAGAACTGGAGTTCACACCTGTTCTCTGCACAGCCTTTCCTAATAGCTACCTTAGAGGTGTTTAATTTTCCCCATGTGCTGTACAGGGAGTTTGCTTGCCTAACTCTAGGTTCTGGATTCTGTCCTGGGAACTAGTCACCTACATCTTGAGTCTGGCCCAGCCTTTTTCTAGAGTCTTTCACATATTCCTTTTAAATGGTAGACTATAAAGAGACACAAAGCAAAGTTTAAACCATTACTGAAGGGGAAGTCAGAGTCTTCTGAGAGTGAAGTACTGCTTGGCAAAGGAGAGCAGTTTCTGGTAAAGAAAGTGACTCCTGTCCCTTGGAGCAGCTCTTTGGGGAGCAGGAAAACTGCCTTCCCCTAAGTTTTCATAAGCACCTTTTTTTTTTGCCTTAACAAGCTGTTAACACTTTCCTTTCTAGGATATCCACACAATTCCTGGAGAGCAGGGAGGAGGTAGCTAAGACATTGTTCACCTTCCATGCACACGCTTACACTTCCAGCAGTCTTTCTGCCTTGCAACACACACACGTTTGTAATGAACCAAAACAGCCAAAAGAATAAGCAGGTATTCAAACGCTAAGGCAGCGACTGAATTTAAACTAGCAACAGAAATCAAGGACAATAAGAAGCCCTTCTTTAGGTATGTAGGGGACAGGAGGAAAACAAATGGAAGCATGAGGCTATTGCTTAACAACTCAGGACAGCTGGTTACCGACACTCAGGAGAAAACTGAACTCCTGAATGACTACTTTGCTTCAGTATTTCATGAGACTAAGGGGAAAATCATACTAAATAAGATTCAGAATGGGCATGGTGGGAATGATCGCCTTCCTACTGTTGATGTTGAGCTGGTGCATGATCAGTTAGAAAAGTTAAACATAAGTCAGCAGGACTGGATGAACTTCATCTGAGAGTGCTGAAGGAGATGGCTGAACTCATTGCGGGACCTCTGGCAAAACTCTTCCAAAACTCATGGCACTCGGGAGAGGTCCCTGAAGATTGGAAGAGGGCCAATGTTGTGCCCATCTTCAAGAAGGGGAGGAGAGAGGACCCAAGCAACTGTAGACCAGTTAACCTAACTTCTGTTCCAGGGAAAATCCTGGAAAAAATAATCAAGAAGTCTGTATGTGATAAGCTTGCAGAAGATAGGATTCTGAATGACAGCCAGCATGACTTCATTGGGGGCAGGTCTTGTCTTACCAATCTCAACTCCTTCTATGACCAGGTAACTCGCCACCTGGATAAGAGAGAGGAGGTTGACATTGTATACCTAGACTTCCAAAAGGCTTTTGATCTGGTATCCCGTGATGTTCTCACAGGACAATCGGAGGATTGTGGGCTTAACTATTCAACAGTCAGGTGGGTACGAAACTGGCTGCAGGACAGGACCCACAGAGTTCTAATGAATGGATCTGCGCTGCCCTGGCAGGAAGTGGCCAGTGATGTCCTTCAGGGATCCATGCTTGGTCCAGTGCTTTTCAACATCTTCATCAGTAATTTGGATCGACCTGTTCGTAGAAGATGAGATTGGTAAGACAAGACCTACTCGTGACAAAGCCATGCTGGCTGTGGTTCAGAATCTTACCCTCAACAAGTGTATTGCACATAGATTCTTTAATAAGTTT